GGGAGTTTAGGGTTAGGAAAATGATTGTTCTTTATTGATTGAATAATAAACTCATGCATAATGGATACATATATAGATGGTTGATCTAAAGAATCCTAGCCATAAAAGATAACTAAATAAATTAAAATACTAATAACCTAATATAATAATACTTCCTAACAATAATGAAATTATCTAACCATAAATAATAATAATAATAATAGTAATATAATAAGAATGGTAAATACGGAGTAACTAAATATAGTCCTATATCACTCTTCCCGCCTCGAAAACCAACTTGTCCTCAAGTTGGAAATCAAATAAAGAACGGGAAAAATTGCACCGTTCATCGTCCATCCTCCGGGGTCAAACACCTTGATCCTTGGAGCACCAAAAGAACGAGTCACGCCTAAAACATTCCCAGTGTCAAGTAAACAGTTCCGGGCAACCAAGAGTAGGAATATTATACAATCACGTGCAACATCCTCAGAATTATAAAGGACAACAACGTCACTTTCTGACGTCCCAAAAGTTTCCGTGCATCCATAAAAAATGATACCATCACTTGAATATTTTTCTTGGAGTGTGTGGGCTCGTTTATCGTCACCAGAAACATCAACAATATCAGCAACGGTAATAGGCACAACATCTATGTGATCAATAATAAGATCATCATCAGGAACACCAACAGGATCAATAAAAATTTCTTTTTCAACTTCCTGGTCCTGGAAAGTTGTGTTCTGCACAGATACTGTAGGGGCCGGATCTCGTGGAGGGCCGATGAGTTTTCTTATAGAGCGCATCATGGTTGCTTTGAAAATGTATAACTCTATAGGAATCAGGCTCGACATAATTGGGAGACCACGAACTAAATCCTGTATTGAACAAAAGGCCTCTACGGCGAACGCATATACTTCGGAATCATATTTTGGTTGACCTTCAATTGGATGAAATGCTTGAAGTTTCTTTATAATTTCATCCACGGAATCTTCAACTGCACACACGCCTTCATAAAATTCGATTTGTCCCCGTAGAACTTTCTCGAGTAAACCAAGAACTTTGTCCAACAGAGAATCCATTGCTGGTGTATTTCTTCACGGATCAAAGAGCAGATGTCAACATTGGAACCGCAGTTGTCCCTTGAATTGCTGCACGATTAAGATAAAAGAGAGCCGACGGCAGCAAATTTGACGGCGGTGACTAATCTTTCACTCTTTTTTTTGGGCGAGTTCAAAAATGAGAGCACCAATTGATACGGTATTGTATCGAGATAGAGAAGGTTAAGCACCTTCAAGTTATAGAATCGAGGAAAAGGGGGAGATTGAGAAGGGAGAGGGGAAGACGGCCGTTGATCGGCGAGGAGGAGAGAGGGAGTTTAGGGTTAGGAAAATGATTGTTCTTTATTGATTGAATAATAAACTCATGCATAATGGATACATATATAGATGGTTGATCTAAAGAATCCTAGCCATAAAAGATAACTAAATAAATTAAAATACTAATAACCTAATATAATAATAC